GGACCGTCCTAAGGGACATCAGCTCCCTTAGCCAATTCTATAATCCACACTAAAGGCCAATGAAAATGGACTCGCTGGTCCCTCGTGAGTGGAACCTTACCTACAATGTGCAGCTTCCTCCAAGTTATCCTCTTAAGGAATAAGGAAGCCTCACACTGAAGCTTGTAACCAAGGCTCACAGGCTGTAACTTCCTGCGTTTCTTTTCTTGAGGCAACTACTGTCAGAACCACGGGCCTGGCATCAGCAAAGACAGGGCATCACGTAGCAGGTGGCGCCGGGGCAGCGGAGGAGGGTGCTGCTAGGAGGTGGCACAGAGGCATGGAGGCAGGCCCGCCTGGGTCCGAGCCCCGGCCTGATCACCGCCCCTCCGAATGGCCTGAACGTGCTGTTGCCTAATCGCTCGCAGGCCCCTGTTCCTCGTGGTAAAATGGAGATAGTAACACCCACGTGACGAAACTGGATTGAAGATAGTGAGCTCGAATGGATGTCACTCCTTTTCCGGAGACAAATGCCCCTGGAATATTTAAAGTTAACACACAATTCACACACATCAAAGTCAGAACCTTCTGCTCAGCAGAGGAAAACACTGACAGGATGAAAACGCAAACTACCGAACAGGAGAGTGTTTACAGATCATGAAGCTGAGAAGGGGTTAATGTTCAACATACAGAAAGAACTCACACAATCTGATATCAAAAAACCAAACATTCCGGTTGAAAAATGGGCAGAAGAGCAACACAGACATTTTTCCAAAGAAGATACACAGAGGGCCAATGAGTATAAGAAAAGATGCTCAAGATCATTAATAATCAGGAAAATGCAGATTAAATCCGCAATAAGAGTCCATCTCACATCTGTGAGAATGGCTATTATTAAAAAAAACAAAAACAAAAACAAAAATGGGAGGGGGAAGAGAGAGAAGTGTTAGCCTGGTAAGGATGTAGAAAAAAAGAGAATCTTCGTACACTGTTCATGGCAATATAAATTGGTGCGGCCACTATGGAAAACAGTATAAAAGTTGTTCAGAAAAAATCAAAAATGGAATTAGCACAATGATCCAGAAATCCCGCTTTCTGGGTATACAACCAAAGGAAATATAAACAGATTATCAAAGAGATGTACGCACTACAATGTTCACTGCAGCTTTTACAACAGCCAACTGCGTGTCAGTAGATGAATGAATAAAGAAGACTGCCTATCTACAATGGCACATAATTCGGCCACAAGACAGAAGGAAACCCTGCCTTTTGCTACAACACGGATGAACCTGGAGGGCATTATGCCAGTGAGATAATCAGAATCAGAAAGAGACAAATACAGCATCAGGTCCCTTCCATGGGGAATCTTACAAAAGAAGTCAGACACAGACACAGAGAGTCAAAAAGTGGTTTCCAGGGGCTGAGAGCCTGGGGGACACAGAGGTTGGGAAAATGGTACAAACTTCAGCGACACGATGGATGAAGGCTGAGGATCTAATGTAAGATATGGTGAGTACAGTCGACAGCAGTGTACTATACAGCTTAAATTTGTTGAGAAGTAGAACTCAAATGTTCTCAGCAAATAAACAAGTAAGTGAGGTGACCGACGTGTTCACTAAGTCAATGGGAGAATCCTTTCATAATGTATACATATATCTAACTACCATGATATACACTGACATACCTTATAACTTTATTTGTCAATTATACCTCCATAAAGCTAAAAAAATACACCATTGATTTTTCCTTCTCTCTCCTCTCCTCTTTCGGACATAACCCTGAGATATGAAAGTTTCTGGGGCACAATTTGAACTTGCGAACAGCTGCATCTTTACTTTCTCTGAGGCATTCTGCTTACCGCTGCTCAGCTACACGGCACTTTCCCCACTGCACTGAAAACGCAATGTTAATGGCCCAATAAGCAAATGAAGGCTATTACAGAAAATGGACTTGGGTCACATGAGGGAAGTTGGGAGGCGCCTCCCTGAGAAACTCAAGTGTCTATCCATCAGGCACAAACTGTGTCCGCTTGCCCAGCCTGGAGCATTTTCCTTCTCTAAAATCACAGGTCATATTTTATCTCTGGCAGAGGAAGGAAGACCACCTCGTACACACACCGGGGAATCAGTAACTAAGAACATGCACAGGTTTCAAAAATTAGTCACCAGTTACCATGGTAATGCAAATATTACCTAACAACTCACTGGGCTGTAAGCAACCCAGATCATGCTAAATACATTACTTTAAATGGGGAGCCTGGGCTCTGATTTTAGAACGCTTGCAAGGACCTAGACAGACCTAATGGCAGACTGAAGGCAGCCCAGGAGTGCCCCTGCGGACCCCGGGTTCGAGGCCCGCCTCCTGCCCTGCACGAGTTGGGTCTTGTGCCGTCCACACACGCAGCCTCGGGAGGAAGAGGTATGGCATCGTGTTTGCAAAGGGCTCCGATCAGGAAGACGAGTCTCCTCGTTGCTTAAAGTCTTAGTAAGAGAATGTCCCCTGCTACTGCCCATGGAGGAGGGGCAGAATGGAAGAAAGACATAGGAGGAGGTCCCTTTCAAACTCAACATGATTTCCTCAGGCACAACGAGAGTTCCCAGAAAATGACGACGATGCCCAAGAAAATAATCATCTCCTCGCTGCTCTGAGTAGTTTAAGTTTTCTGAGTCTCTCTTAATTTTCACAAGAACACAAGCATAAATATGGTGTGAATTTTTCAATGATTCCAAGAATTGGCCATGCACGCGCTCCTAAGTCAACCTCGGGGCCTTGCTTCTGCTCACGGTGCACGGGGTCCGCGGCACGCGGAGCCCAGCCCTTGCGAAGAGCGGCCCCGGGGCGGAGGTCCTCCGCGTGGTCCCCGCGTGTCCCCCGCGTGTCCACAGGGGCTCTTCAAACGCACAGCCCTCGGGGGCCATCTCCTGGGCCACTCCAGTGGAGTCGCGGGGGCCAGGGTCTGAAAGTCTATTTTGAAAAGGCTCTCTCTGCGATGCTTAGGCTCTCTAGAATGAGAAGCCCGTCCTTAGGAACCTCTTCACAGTGGTGGCTGAAGACAGGCCAGCCACCAGGGGGCCTGAGCCAGTAGAGACTGATCAAAGCCCGGGCTCCTGGTGACTCAGGGGCTTTTGGACCACAACCCAGGGCAAAAACCGAACACAGGTACATGTATTACATATATGTGCGTATAGCACCGGTATTTCACAGGCTGCACAGGTGATGTGCTCTGATTTATTCTATTTCAATTTTTAATACTCTTACAACTTACTAAGTTGATTTCATTATCCACTAATTGGCCATTCCTGAGAAACCCTATTATAACTTCTAGTGTCCTGTAATTTTATCACTTAATAGTTTTTACACTTTTTCATATTATAACTCAAACAGTAGAAAACCATCCAATCTTTCCCAATAATACCCCGGAGGTCACAATATTTTAGTTGCCTGTAGAAGGCAAACCAAGTTGAAATGAGACAGTCACGTGCTTCAGGATATCCACAGCCATACATTTCATTGCTACCAGGGAACTCTATTTCCTCTTTATCTCACAAAGAACGGCATGCAGATCATATAAAGACAGGATGAAATAAATGAAAAGTATTAAGAAAATGATGCAAAGAGACAATCTGGACAGAAAACTCAGTGCAGAATGAATAAAAAAAAGAAAGAAAAAGGAAGTGACGTGAACAGCACAGGCCAGGAAACCTCGCTGCCAGTGCGTGCTCAGCATGCTGGCTCTCCAGTGGACGAGGAAGGCACCACGGGTTCTGAAGGCGTCAGCGTCCGTCGGGGAGGAACCACGCAACGTCTAGAAGCCCTTCTAAGCCGTGGCTATCCTCTCTGCGGACTTGCCTGAAGGCCCCGCCCCTCCCCCGCCACCCCACCCCACACACACACACTCCTCAAGGCAGAGAGAGCAGTCCCCGCGGGCCCGAGACCCCGAGACCCCTGTGGCTGCGTCCGCCTTCCACTGCCACTCGAATGTGGGGTCCACGTGGGAGCAACAAAACCTCCCTCCCCATAAAGCAGTCTGTGTTTACCTCTGTCCTCACACTGACCCCCTCATTGTGAAGAACACTGTTTACAAGGCTGTCTGACCTCTCTGTCCCTGCGGACCCCACCAGATTATGCGTTCCAAGAGGACAGTATCAGCTCCTTTGCATTTCAGTGAACGCTCCATAAAACCGAGCTGAACACTCAACTCCTCTAGAAATCCCCCAAAGGAAAAGTGATATAGAAGCCCAGAGACCTGGACTTGCTTATTGATCCTCTTGTTCATGACCCCTGAGAGTCTCACCAAGCCGTTGGACTCTGAGGACTCCGTTTCTTATCTGTCCAGCCTTGCCAGTGTTGTTTGTATCACAGGTTAGTCTTGGAGAGAAACCAACAAACAGATGTAAGGTGTCCGACGGCCCACTTCCTGGCACCTGGTAGCTTCTGCACGAATGTTTGTTCTCCCTTCTATCAGGGAATTCTAAGACGTTGGTGGCCCTCGCTTCCAGGGCCCTGACAGTCCCCACCACTCCCTTCTCCTCCTCCAAGCCTCCCGAAGCAGAAAAATCCCCCAAGAGAAAAGCAGCGCCCCCGCAAAACCAGGACGCACTCGGTGCCTACCCAACGCCACCTTTGAAAAGAGTTCTTGTCATTGTTTCAACTACTTTAGGGAGGCTTAGATGTTGCTCTGAGGGGAAAAAAAAGTGTCTGAGAAAGGAAGCTGCATTGTCATTAAGTATCACATGAAAGCTTTAACCAAGCAATAAGAGAGATAATTACTAAATTCCCTCTTAGAAGGTCAGGGCGGCTGCTGAAAGAGGACACACAAACAGATTTGGGCTTCACTCTTGGCTGGGCTAAGTGCCGCCTTGCTGCCACTGAAGCCGCGGCTCTTTGTGCGCAGGCTCCACGTCCGCGGAGGGAAGGCGCAAAACTCGGGCCAGTCCCTGAAGCCCTGAGCAGACGGCACGTCAATCCCATTTTAACTTCCGTAAGTGCAGTGTCCAGGTTAAGCCACGGGGTTGGCCTACCTTTTCCGTGATGTAGAAGTTTGAACTATCGGCATGTTGCAGCGCGTAGTATTCGTGGTTGGCAAGGGACCACCTTAAAACAGAAGCATAGACTGATCAGAAAAGCAGTAAATGGTGCTTTTCATTTGTACGGCTGGATGGAGTCAGATAAATTAAGGGTCCTGTGTTTGGAATTGGGCCAGGACTCAACGAGCCTCACAATGCAGTTTCTAAGTCAAAATGACATCAGCTAACCTTTTACCCTAAGACCAGTCATTGCACAAGTAGATCGTCTAGGTCTTATTCCACGTCTATTGCTCACCTGTAAGCACTTCATCTTCCTGGCTTTGGGGCAGGAGTAGTATTTAAATATAAAGTTACATTCCTCCCTATTTTGAAGGAGTTGAGGAGAGAGGGTACAACAAAGGAAATAAATAAATTTCCATTTTCCGTAATTGTTACATTTCAGTTGCCTCTGCATCCTCCAACCCCCAAGCACTATGCTGGCTGCACACTGGAGCGCTCCTGTCAAGTACCCCAGGACTTAAATAAATTCCAGATAATCCTCTAGTCATAGTTCTGCTCTAAAGGTAAAAAAAAAAACCAAAAAAAACAAACATCACCCCCCCCCCCCCCACGCAACTTCTGTCTGTGTGGGCAAGGCAAAGTGGGAAAGCCATCTTGTTGTGACACCCACGTGGCAGGAGAGTGACCTGCCAACTTGTCTTTTAAATTATTTCATCTTGTATGGGGACCGGAGTGGTCCTCCCAATTTATACCAAATGAAGGGAATATTTAACCTGGGGAACTTTAGGCCACTTCCTGCTGAGAAGGGCGAAGGAACACAGCGTTTCCTCAAAACAAATAAAGCCAGTGCACACACACCTGCCAGTTCACATTCTCCTCTCCTCTTTGAGGACCAATAGTAATTTTTTTGGTGGAAAGGGCCATGCAGCCTTACATAGTAATTCTTGGTGTCTTGGGGCAGGTCCAGGAGTGACTTATGAATGGGATCTAACGATAGCAAGGGAATATTTTAGTTGCCTCTAAGCCGTGAGCTGAAACACCTCCGATGAATCCCGAATAACGACACTTACCCATCACAGACTTCCTTTATTATTGCAGACAGCGGTTTTTTCTGCAAAATAGCAAAAAAAGGAAATACTCTGTTAGTTTCATTTCATCATTTTAAATTTTTAAAGAAAAAGGAGAAGAAGGTTAGTAAAAAATATCTAAGCAAGGAGACTTTCCATTTGCTATTCTTAGTTGTTTTCAATGAGTCTGTTGTTTTTCTCAAGGCAATAATCGACCAGCCATCGCCACCAAATATAGTGATGATTTATTACCCTGGTGGTACTTTTTTCTATACTGAACATTATCAGTTGAACAAAATATACTGCATTTATAACTTAGCCATGTTAAAATCAGGATGGAGTCGCAGCTTCAATCAAAGATCCCCGAGGCAACCAAAGCAGGCAGGGTCCGGGGACAAGCAGAATTCCTCAGGAGCACGTGTCAGGCAAGCAGCAGTCGTTTGTATGCAAACAAGCTTGGACTCAGGATAGTTTTATGAGAACACGTGGCAGATGACATCGGAGGTATTGTGAAACTTTTCCTACAGAGTGCAAGGAATTCTTTCCATAGCCTTGGCCCCGACGAATGCCAATCGCGCAGCAACTTGAGCTGGGCACACTCGCGTAATGGGACAGGACCATGACAGCCTGGGCCCTGGTGTCAACTGGCAGCCGACGACAGCTGCGCTCCCAGCCTGACGGCCACAGCCGTGCTCCGCCTGCCTCCGGACGCAGGAATGCGGCAGAGAGGCACACACGGCTCGCCCGGTGGTGTCGAAACACTCTCTGCTTTAGAGGCAAACAGACCCTGCCTATCTCCTGGGGCGGACAGACAGGAGTGTGTCAACCAAAAGAATGAAAAGGAAAAAAAAAAAAAAAAACCCCAGGGAACAGAAATCAAAGATATAGACAGGTGGTCCAGGATTTTCAGGTACACCAGGAAAAAACCGTCTCCAGTAAGCATGCGAAGCGGTGTGGGGAAAGGGTGTCTGAGTCAAGCAGGACTGGTGCCAATCCTAACTCGTCTGCTTGTCTGCAGGGGGGCCTACCATGTCCTGCCTTTGCTGAGCCTCAACTAGTTTATCTGTAAAACAGGCATAAGACCTGCCCACTCCCGAGGCTGCTATAACAATTCAATTACATTAAATTAGAATTCATACAAAGGGCAAAGGACACAAGGAAGGCTTAGGGCTCTGGCTTCCGTGGCTCTCGTGCCTCTGGAAGCGCCCCGCTTCCGTCCCGCACGCTGCCCTTGCACACAGTGCTGCGGGATGGGCCCTCCTGGGCAGTTCGGAATTGCGGTCCTTCCGAAGGGCCCCCCCGCCCCTGTGCAGAGCTCCGACCCCGTGCTCAGCGATCCTGCAATGGCTTCCCCCGACTGGAGGCCTAGCCTCTACGACTGAGTGTGCAAAACAATGTCTGCAGACGACCGTGAACGCAATGCGGGGAAGAGGGGCCGAGAACTGGGGAGCAGAGAGACGGCAGAATCTCCCTGCCATCCTGAGTTGGTCTCCTTCCAAGTAAGACTAGCAATGGGGATCGGGTTGTACCATGAAGCTACACGTCACAAAAGTCCAAGGCTTTTGCAAACACTTGTCTATTGTTTATGGCTTTAGCTATAAGTTAAGGGGCAAACCAAATGAGATATGAACTTTAGGAACAAAACGTTTCTCACAAGAAAGGATTTTGCCCTTTCAGCTGCCAGAGACCTCGCTAGGCTATCAGTATTTCATGAAGACCTATCAGCCTCTGCGCCCCCTAATCTTACTTCTTGCCGCCTCAAAACTGAAACATAAATAACAGGACTGGATCTCAGCCTTAAAGGACATCAAAACAACAGATCAGGCCAAGAAAGTACTGCTGTTGAGGTAGAAAAAGGCTCCTACAATAACAGCTCCCAGGATTTGACTTCCTAGTTCAGGTCTTTCAGGGGAACTTCTTGGATTTAAGTCCAGGTCTGATTTATAGACTCAGAATCAAATTTGGAAAGACAGAAGCCTACGGCCTTCTAGAACTATTATGTCCAGGGCACTCGGAAGATGGATATATGAAAGGAGTGAAGACCATGAAGAACAAAGCTTGGTGACTTAATAAAGAAAGATGAAAGAAAATCTCACACCTCAGAGGAAGAAGAATCACGGTTAGCATGAGGCGCCCACAGTGCAGCCGCGGCTATAGAAAGGAGGACACATAAGGACGAGACTGGTCCCATGGCCCGCTTCCTACACCTGTCCCCTCCATTTGTCCGCCTGTTCCACTGAAACATTAGCCCCCAGCGCCCAAACCTAATGCCGACGACTTCCACAGATCTCATCTCCCTTCATCCATCCACCTTACGTGACGCTATTACCACTACCTTTTTTCTGACACTCTTTCCAGGGCTTCTGTTGCATTCCCTTTATTTTTCTATAGTTACAACCAATAATCCTTCAATAGAACCCGAGAGATCCCTCGTTGCTTGTCTTTTACTTCTAGCTTCTGAGCTCCCTGCTTCTGTTCTTGCATCTTCCGCTTTTACTGAATCGGCCAGTTCCTCATTCACTTCAACTGTCTGAAGTCTATTCTGGTCCCAAACGTTCTCTTGCAAATCTTTGACAGCTTATTAAATATAGCATTTTAACTCTCCTTCAGGCATCTTATTTAAATATACAAACAACACTCATTGTTCTCACCATTGCCTACCCCTCCACGTACTGCCCAAATAGTACACCCCCAAAAGCCCCTACCCCCACCACGCCTTCTCTCCTTTGTTCTAACTCCACTGCGGCCCAGGACCACCGTTACCTTGATTTATTTCATCTCCAGGTCTAAATTATTATAAGGTTGTGTAGCATTTTCCTCTGTGACGTTCACATTATTACTTCTGACCCCCTAACTACCCTTCTGGAATCCTGACACTCCTCATTCCGACTCTTGCTGTCAGATGGACTGTCCCCCAATCCTGTCACCCTCCACTCTGCTTCCCAGCCCTGGTGACCTTTCTAAGTACCCGCCCATCATTTCTAACCACCTGCCAGGAATTTCCAGTCAAATGCTCCACTGACTTATCAGACTCAGATTCCTACTTTCCATTACTTCCTACCTTTGGTAGTCCTCCCTTGTACGTTTCTAGAGAACCTGACTTCTTTTCTTTATTCTGTGATAATCATGTTTATCAGACACTGAGGCTCATCCTGACATGCTCTGCAACGTCCCTCTCCTGTATCCTTCCCAGAACTTGGTGCCACCAAGAGTTCTCAGGATGCCATCACAGGCCCTTGCAAGTGAGTCTTCACATCTCCAAGGTTCTTTCTTTCCAATCTTCACATGAACTATAATCAGACGAAATTAGAATCTCCCCTCAACCTTTGCTCATGTCAGTCTTTCTCCCTGATACCCTCCACAGAGCCCAGCGACCACCCCTACATGGCACACGTCCCTCAGCTCATCACCCAAGCCTTCCCCAATCTGGTCTCAAGCAATTAAACTTTCTACGGATGCTGTACATGCTCCCACGCTGCTAAATGAGGTGGTGATTCACCAAATATACACATGCATCCTCTGCACTTTCACTTTACTTGTTGAAATGTCCCTCTCGTCTTTCTGTCCCATCTCCAACAATGAACTCTGCCTACCATTCCCATCCTTGTCAAAGCCACCGCCTCTAAGCACAAGTCCCCGATCTCCTGGAAGAGAGACCACGCCCTCTTAGTACGAAGTACTCCTAAGGACTTTTGGCCCTCTTGTACCGTCTTGTCCCCGTGAACAGGGCATCTTAATGCATCTTTGTACCCTTCTCCTTCACTCAGTACGAGTTTCCACAGTGCATCGGCGCTGGTAGGATCTAAGAAAGACTCAATACACTTCTCTTAAATGGGAAATCCACACGCTATCGTTCCTATAGAAAAACTGCACGCGAACCCTTTGGATGGCCAGGCTGCACATCGGCACACGACGCCCCGCTTCCCACCACGCCTGCCCCTGCTGGGTGGCTGGACGCAGTGCTGGCTACACACTGGGAGGCATGTGAGGCTGTGAACCCGACTGCCCGGGCCCTCACGGGGTGTACGTGGCCCACAGCCTGGAAGAGCGCTGAGCCAGACGGCTGACGAAGAGTGCGATTCAACAGGTGAGAAACCAGATGCAATCGAGTGACTGCCGCCGTCCCTTCACAGGGCCACACAGGTAGCCCGCACAGCCTTCCTGAACAGGGACTGAACAGCATGCCCCAAACAGAAAACACCCTCCTGGGCGCGCCGCCTGTGCGCAGTCCGCGGAGTGACAGCAGCTCCGTGACTGCCTCAACCCCCGGCCAACGCCGGCTCTGCCGGGCCTTAGCTCCCATTTGCTCAGGTTACGTGAGATGCTTCTGCCCCTCTACCCGGCTCTCTAAGACGCAGGAGCAGCGTGACAGGGCTACGCCTTGCGAGCTTCCTGCAGAACCGCTGAATCACGTGCCTGCCACGTCACTGAGAGAACAGCCCAGGAGGAAAGAAAATTTGGTCTAAAAGGATGAAAACTGGTTTTTTTTTCCCTTGTGACTCCATACACCATAAAGGCACTAAAAATAACATTCAATAATCTATTCGACTGCAGCTGGATTTAGAATGTTGAGGCGAAATTATTTTAAAGGCCTAAATATGTTTTCTTAGCTTATAAAAATCGTAACTAAATTCCTTAAGCTTTTTGCTTTGAAGGTCAAGGCCACCTTCTCGAACTCACAGTGAGCAGAGATGGGAAAAGCAGGAATGTTTTTAAAGACAGCCTGGAGGGTCGGCAGGTAAGCAGTTCCCGGATTTCCACGTGCAAGGGGATCAGGGATTGTGTGCACGAGGGACAGACTTTCGTCCCTGTTCCTTTAGCAGCAGTGAGGTCACCTTGCCGCCTACAAAAGTAGTTCTTCACTTTATGTGATTCTGGGAAAACCTTAATGTTTGGCAGGAATATTTCGATCGTCAAGCAGAGTATGCATTTCCAATATGAACTGTTGGCAAAGTACCCACCATGTGCCAGTTCCATCCAAGGTGCAGCTTTTTTGTTGTTGTTTTGGGGGACGCACTCCTCCTTTTTTATTTTAACTCTTACC